GTAATTGCCTGAAGGTAATACAGAAACCTCAACCTTGGTACAATACAATACAATACAATACAATACACCCTGATAAGAAGGTGAAGGCTATGTTTATAGATATCTCAAGACCCATAGAGTTCTCTAAAACTCATTACTATATTAATACGGTATTGATGGGAGACGTTAACGCGAAACTAGGCACAAGGAAAGACGCTGATATGAGAATGGGGAACTTTGGGATTAAATAGCGGAACCTTAGGGGGCAACAACTGGCTAACTCTATAGAAATGGATCTAGAAATAGCCGCAACAAATGTAGACTTGGATAAGCCTCGATGATTCTACGTAAAACCAGATTAACTTGATCATGACGACTAAATTGTGACTATTCAGTGATGTCTTTGTGATCGCTAGGGTGAAAACCGGCAAGGGTCACCGAAAGGCAAACTGTGTCCCTCATAAAACCTCTGAGACCACTTGTAAACCTATCCTAAAGTACTTGTAAAACTATCCCTTAAAAGGAGCCAGTGCTTTTAAACCTTTTGCCTTTTAAATAAAACTATTTTACGGTTTTTTTTTCACGTATATATTCTCGAAGTTTCGAACACTTTACAGCATCTGCCATCTTCTCTATGGAAATTTTAATGTTCTCGCGAATCATCCTTACAAAGAATCGGTGACACCTGTGACATATGGCAGTATAGCAGGCACACGCTCGACTGTGGCCGGCTTCACTCTTAACTGTGACGTGGGCGCGGGACCCGAAACTTATTTTCAAGCAAAACTTACTTGATGTGTTGGGGATCGGCGACACGGTATTTACTGTCACAGAACCCTCGTGATATCTGAAACAAAGATTTTTCCACGGTAGCTAAATAGTGGTGAGAATCACCGATTAAATATCTATATGTATGGGTCTTTTTCCTATTCACAGTGTGGCTCAAGGTGTTATTAGAATTCCGGATTACTAGTACATCTAAGAAAGCCAATAGAACTGAATTTTAGAATTTATGGAGTTAAGATGGTCTAAAAATGTAGTTACTGTAAAGAAGTCCAAAGATAGACTTGTGAAAGTACCGTCTACGTACCGCTTGTATTCTACAAGCGGTACTTGGCTTTACAGTAGTAAGAAGGGCTTTCTCCTCAAAGTGCTCCACGAATATATCGGTGACAGTAATGGTAGATACAGGTGAACCCATTACCAAACCATCTACTTGCGTGTATAATTCTTCCTTCCGCAATAGTTACACAAGACGCAAGATAATTTCTTTGCACGGTAGTCTTTGTTGTGTTATTGCTTTTTTTTGAATTTTGAAAATATGTAGTTAACATTTGTATAGTTATCAATAACGTATTCTGACAGATGAAAATACCCAGACCGGCGATGTGGGTCATCGCCACAAGTGCAAGACGTCTGGTACTGCTGTCACCGATGTGCTAAGCGTGACGGTTATTACAAATCTCCCTATAACGATATAAGCTCACGTACAACAGTGGCGCAGGATGGAAGGCTGATGAAGAAAAAAATTAGTTATAGTGGTTAGACAAGGAATTTTAACTTGTAGGTATGGACAAAAGCGGTCGTAATGTTACACTGAAAACGTGTGAAACAACCCACGTCCTGCAATTTTCACGGACACAAACGACAACAAATGGGTGCTTCACTCATTTTCAGTGCAACAAATACGTCCATAATTTTTCGTGCGTATAAGTTAAAAAATGTCTGTCAAACTGATATTTTATTATGGTAATTTTTCACGGGTCTTATTGCCAGTTTGTTTGTTCTATTGTTGATTGAAGTATGTGGCAAATTTCTCAGTGGCTACGGAATGATCTACTTATATTGAACTCAAAAAAGACGATGTACGTTTTACATAAAACAAATGAATCTTGTTCGAAGTTTGGTTTGAATATAAAAATTCAAGAAGAATCATGCGACATGAAACGTGTTGTTCAAGTGAGTATCATATGCGGGTTAAGGTTATAAAATATCCTAATATAATATATGGTGCACTTGTAGACGATAATCTGAGATTTAAATCGCACATGGAAATTCTTACAAACCGGATTTGAAGGATTATCTATATATTGAAAGAGCTACATTATATAGTAAATAAGAAAATAGTAAAATCTGTATATTACGCCCTTTGGCAATCGCTGATAACTTACTGCATAACTAACATGTTGGGGCAGTGCGTCCAAAACATATTTAATAAAGATCGAGAGAGCAAAGCGTGTAGCTTTAAAGACAATGTTAGGAAAACTATACAAATACTCTACTGCAATCGTATATGAATATGCCGGAGTACTTACTGGTACGTCAACTATTTGTGCTAAATACGACCTTAGCAGTATTATCTTCCCGTGAACTCAAATTACTGACAAATCGCAGGGAATACAAACCATCCACAAAATCTGTCAATACAACATTTGCGGAACGTTTTGGTGATTTTATTAAAAACTACCTATCTTCGAAATTAATTATATTGAAATTGGTTGGTCAATTTATCAGATGAAAAAACAGAATAATTGTTACAAAATGGGTTTGATGGAAAAAAATGGAATTGAAGGCATTTGTGCAATTATTAGGTAAATATTGTTAATGTTTTATTTTTTTAATTGCCTATAGTTAATAATTCATATATTAGAGTTATATAAAACTTGGCTTGGTGGTTATAAGTTTGTTTCTTTTTATGTTTAAAGATTTTAAGAAATAAGCAGTTTTGTTGTTTGCTATTTTGTGTGTATGTTAATACACTAGTAAAAAAATAATGCTTAATGAACTTTGGTCTTAGGTTTCCTCAATACAGGCTTTCTTAGTGAGAAAAGCAATAAATATTACTTATTATATAATAGTTTCTGTTAATAAAACATTTTTCATTTCATTTCATGATAATTAGCATGATTTCATATGCGTGTAGATGCAAAAAATCAACTACTAAATTTTTATTAATTGTTTGTAACTGCATCGTCTCACCCAGGCAATTTTGAAAGTACGGACCAGTATGCGCGTAGATAGCGACGACCATCACCGCGTCTACGGGTGCCTCTATAGGTACCACAGCGTTAATGCTGTCGGCAGACCGACTCATCGACCACGTACAAATGGCTGGCGTTCCCTTTTAAGCGATCATACGGGGAGATTTGTTTATGACTGTTTTGGCATATGGTCTGACACAAATGGTTATTTTGCCTACGCGGATCCCAGATATGGAGAATCATAGTTTTTGTCGGGGTTGATCAGCTGGTGATCTTCTGGTTTAGCTGACTCATAGATGGACAGAGGCAGTAGAATCCAAGGGTGAAGCATTAGTTTGGACACTGCGAAGGCTTTCGATCAGGTTTGGCACAAAGTACCTGACGAAGCTTCCTTTCTATGGGCTTCCCGAGAAATTATGCAATTGGATCACCAGCTTTCTTGCAGATCGAAGCATCAAGGTCGTTGTAGACGGTGCATGCTCCGATTACAAGCCTATTTATGCTGGTGTTCCACAAGGCTGCGTGCCATCACCTACGCTGTTTCTTCCGCATGTCAATGATATGTTGCAAACCGGTAACATTAATTGCTATGCGGATGACAGCACTGGTGATTCTCTATACACCAGCCGTGCTAATATTTCTCAGAAAACGTCGCCGACTACCGGAACAAATTTGTGTCTGAAGTCAAGCCTTTACTGAACAAAGTATCGGATAGAGGGCAACTAACTTTAGTCCAGTTTAATCCTCAGAAGACACAAGTTTGCGCGTTTACCGCTAAAAAGAACCCCTTTGTCGTATCTCCTCAGTTTAAAGGTATTCCCCTTGTTGCCTCAGCCAGTATCGGAGTAGTAGTCGGTAGTGGTCACTTGGAGAAGTAGGCCAAATTGACCTCTAAAAATCTTGGCGTGCTCAGCAGAGCGGGACAGTTTTTCATGTCAGCAGACCGCCTGCAACTTTACAAAGCACAGGTTCGGCCTCACATGGAATACTGTTCCCATATCTGGGCTGGGGCTCCCCAGTGCCAGCTCCTTCCACTTGACCGCATCCAGCGCAGAGCGGCTCGAATCGTCGACGACCGAGTTCTTTTCAATCGACTGGATTCACTGGCGCTGCGAAGAGATGTTGCATCCCTTTGCATTTTCTTTCGCATCTACTACGGTGAGTGCTCTGAGGAATTGTTCAGATTAATCGCAGCCGCCAAGTTTCACGAACACACATCGCGGCAAAACTCCCAATACCATCCACACCATCTGGATGCTGGGCGGTCCAACATTGTACGTTTCACCAGGAGTTTTCTTCCTCGCACGACTGCTTTGTGGAATTGTTTACCATCCTTGATTATTCCAGACCGATACGACTTAGAAACTTTCAAGAAATGAGCTTAATCCTTTTTAAAAGATCAGCAAACCTGCAATTCCCATGGTGCTGCAGTTGTTCATGGGCGGCGGTCGACACTTAGCATTAAGTGAGCCGCATGCTCGTTTGACACTATCCTGCGAGTTATTTAGGATAATTTTAGTTTTTATTAACCGTGTATTGGCGTTGTAAGAATATCTATTACCCCATATCATCCCGTGGGTATCGTAAGAGGCAAGAGAAGGAAACTGAACCACCATCTTATTTCCAGCTGTGAAAGTTTGGTAGGCTGCAATAGTAACGATTAGTTTGTATTGTTGCTAATATGCTATAACATGTTGTTGTTAATACCGAAGGGCAAGAACTACATTAAGCCCTCCTTATCATCTGCATAACTACGCAGACCATAGGCCGTATCCTGTGGAGAGTATTTGCCATAATTGCGATACTTGGCAATTATGAATTTAAAGACAGGAATAGGAAATAGTTTTGTGATTTCCTAGACACCTCTTACAATAATCCCGGGTCGAAAAAGAGGGATATTGCCTGACGCCGCAACCACAACCACAAGGCGATTGAAGCAATTTTGCTATTCTATTTCAACAAAGAAAATAAAGTATTCTATGAATTAAGAATAGTGAGTGTTGGGCGGTTATTTATTAATTATAAATAAAAAACATATTTACATTTCATTTCTTTTATTCATTTTCAAATAGTTACAGTAACATCCATGCAACGGTACACTACTTCTAAACGGTTCAGTAAAATCGACCCATGCATCAAATAATAATTATTTAAAAAATATTTATTAAAAAACCAATAAAATAAATAAATAAAAACTAATTTCACTATCGTCTAATAAATTTTAATGACTCGTACATTGTATTGGATCACAAAAATAGGTAACTAAACGTTAAAACATTAAATATAATTTATCTATCGACTAAAACATATTTCACGTACTTATGAATAAATTGGTAAACATTTTCACTTAAACTAGGTCGGGAAATAATATTCGAAGATTCTCAGTATGTAGTTCGTTCCTTAAATGAAAACTAACTCGAACAAAGATTTCACTACATACATGGTTGGTGTTAATAGAAAACATAAAAATAGATATTGCAACTTCTACAGACTAAAAATAAGTTGTGCGAACATTCCGGGATGTTGTTGCGTTTCGTTTCGCAGATATTTTTTTTATCATAAAATGTGCGTTTTATTTATATTACTATATCGATGCTAGAGTACATTAAAAAAAAAACATTATGTTTTTCAACTTTTCTTTTGAAAACATTCCAATTACTCCTATTTGGCATAATTACACCTACTTTTAATTAAAGTATAATTAAAAATTATATGATTTCGAACGATAAGAACAGAAGTGAGTCAAATTAATGTTAGGTAAATAATTTATTTAACAAATTACAGTTAATTGTATAATTTTATCACTACATTTTATCGATAATAGTACGATTGCACTTCTTTTAAATAATATCTAATGTACTCATATAATATAGTATATATACATACAATTTAATACTTTCATTAAACATTGATTTACATCTATTGAAATAATTTATGCATCATACGAAGCTGCATAAATTCATTTAAACGTAGTTTTTTTTTCTATTGAAACCTCAGACCAATAAGGAAGATAGACGTAATGCTGCTTACATTTCCAGTAAGTGCTGCCGAAACAATGCTCAATTTCTCGACACGCTTGGTTGCTGCGTTGTTGGTTTGAAATTTTAACAAATTAATATTTATACCTTAAAATCAAATACAAGACTCATTTTTAGTGTTAACTAAAGAAATTGGTTGATGTAACAATTGACTGCAATAAAATGCAAAGGTAACCTGCTCTATCAATTATTAAAGTAAAGTGATTTTGTGTAAAATATTAGACTTTACAAGTAACGGAACTCGTTCTATTTCATTGTTTGATATTATTCTGGTTTTAATATTACAAAAAAATTTCAAAACACTGGTTCTTGAATTGTCGGTTTCACAAAAGTTATTTATATATTGCTTGCCATATCTCTGCCGTTTGATATTTAGGTACATTAAAACATAAATCATTACATTACAGTTATAAATTAATTAAAGAAAATATTATCATCATCAATTATTATTAACAGTGATGGAAACGCATTCTATAAATACATATTTATGCAAATGCTCAAACATTCTTACTGATTAGGTTTAAAACTTGCATTATATTAAATGCGCATTATTTTTTTTAAACAATTTAAGGTTAACTTTACCTCTATATACTAATTTTTAATAATTCAAATATTTTACATTTTCATACTGAGTAGGTATAATCATATCACGAACTATAGTGGGACAAATACGTACGTTGATAGGTTTACAATTATGTGAATCTTGCAGGTATGTTTGAAAAGTTTAGACACAAAACATGTTACAAATTATACCTGCGTCACTACGCAGGTATAATTTGTCAACTTGTATACTGTCTACTTAGAATTGTTAACATTAACAAAAAAAAAAAAACTATAAAATTAATAGAAATTCCATAGTATGTATCTCAACGTGAACTCATGTGACTGTCACTAAGCTGTCATGTTACTTAAAGTTGATTTCATTCGTTCATTTCTAAACTTTTCTATTACATATCCCGTAACTATTGTGGAAGCCAACTTGATTCGCCCCGCAGTTACAGATTAAATAAAAATGTTGTTTTCTATCGCAGAATGGGGAATTTAAACATTTTAAAATGAAATAGTAATATTATGATTTTGGTTTGTGTAAAACAAAAATACCTAATATTATTTTGTGATTTGAATACACGCTAGTAACGTGCTTTTAATTATTAATTAAAAATATTTAATAATTTGAATAATTATGGTGAAACAAGTGTGTATCCAAATTACAAATATGAAGCTGAAGTTTCACCAAGTGATAACAATCGCAAATATAAATTATAATAATAATACTTGTCTCAGATGAAAAAAAAATTACACTATGTAATAAATAAATGAAAATACATCTAAACTTGTCCAAATATATTGTAGATTACGAAGAACAGTTACTTTTATAAATGTTATCATCATACGTTATTTATTGAAACGTTCTACATTAGTTACACTCGAGACTTACTCGTTTTAATTTACACGAATTTTAATTTACGACCAATAAAATTTTATTATTTAATCCTAAATAAATTATATATTTCTACTTATTCAATGAGTATCTATTATTTACAAGAATCTTTGATAAAGGACTAGTCTTGCTGTTCCAGTGATTGCATTTGCTTAAAAATATTGTGAATATAATATATTAAAATAATCGATAAATAACTAATACTTATATGATTCAGCATAATTCATTAATTACTAAAAGAAAAGAATACCCCTCAAAGTATCTATGTAATGTTAATAAAAAAATGACCGGTGTTTGGTGGTCGTTCGCTATAATGTGTGACTTGCAATGTTATTAACACAAACAGTTTAATTTTTTGAAGTGAAAGCTTCTTTAGCCGCGTTGAGCGATTTTTGGAATGGCAAAAGCTTATGGGTTCGCATTACTGATGACCTCGACATGTTCGCGATGACACGAGCAGTATAGCGGCCTGTGTACATGTATACGGATATATCATTAGTTTTCAGTCTTCACTTCTGTGTCTGCCTCTATTTTTTAGTAAGTATTTTTTTTTAATTTCCTAGTAAAATAAATGGTTTTCTGTTGGTAAGTTGTAAAGCAGATAAGATTATGTTACCTTCATAGTTCATCTTTAGTTATTTTTGTAATAATAGGGTGAAACTTCAAAAAATTGAAATCATTTTTAATTTGAAATATGAACATAATTTTATAAAAACTAATAATATAAAATATATTATCTTTAGATCTAGATCATATAATATGCTCTAAGATTCTCACATTAAGCCAATTCACACATATCTGACATATTTAACAACATTCATCGTGACATTTTATTTGTGATTTTTATTGCTTTTTAGTTGGAGCGAAAATCAACAAATGGTCATTAAAAAGGAAAAGTATTGAGCTTTAAAGACATCTTTTATAAATATTTTGATACAAAAGTAAGTGCCAAAATAAAATGTCGTTGGTGTATAAAGGTTGGAAATAGGATAACAAAATATATGTATGTGACGGTTTATCAAAAACATTTATAAAAAGTCTCTTTCAACTTTAGGCTCGCAGTCGCAGTAGAACTCACAGTACAAGAAATTACGAAACGTACAATATAACACCGAATGGTGTTGAAATAATTATACCTTTTACAAATTGTCGTCGTTTACAGTGCCCTTGTCTTAGAAGGACGGTCATGCGTAATGTGGATAGGAGCCCAAATGTGACGTCACGTGGGGAGGCGCCATCGAGTGGGGGGAGTAGAGGTTGCTCCCCCCTCCACCCCAGTTGCTCCACGACGCTGAAGGGAATATCGACGCTGAAACAAAATAGTTTTCTAACCTAAGTTAACATGATGTTCAGTTTCGTATCGCTACAAACCCAAAATGCCACCCTTTGAGATCATATCAAGGATTCGATTGACAAGAAGTTTTAGTTATAAGAAATATATATATATATATATATATATATATATATATATATATATAATAATAATTAGGCTTAGAAAATAGCACAATATATTTTTTTGTTAACGTCAGAAATAAATAAGTCTATAAATTAAAAAAAGAACAAAATCAAACTTCAATTTGGAAGACAAATCATTCGCTTTTTGAGCTAGCCAGCGTAATAATGATCTCTAAAACTTTACTATACTATACTCCAAGAAATTTGAATATATATATATATATATATATATTCAAATTTATATATATATATATATATATATATATATATATATATATATATATATATATATATTTATATATAATTAACTACTTAGATGTCTTTGACATATTACTGTATAAAACTAATAGTATGTCTTCATCATCGGTTCTTCCGTCCGTCGGTATATCACCTTAAAACTTTGTTTTAGATGCGGTTTTCATCAACATTTAAATAATTTATTGAGGCAGATTTTTGTTTATTACGACCATTTTTTAAATTAGTATAGTCTATACATATAATTAAATTTGAAGTGTCGGACTGGTTATATCGAAACAACTGCTTTTTATGAGCTGAGGGGATTATTTGCATGCCATTAAGACATTAGTAAACGTTTAAAAAAAGTTATCAGTCTGTCTGTCTGTCTGTCCGGATAGTTAGAGAGCAAATGCCAAAAGTGATCTAGACTATATTGTATCCGGAAAGCTAGGTGATTTTTTTTGTGAAATCAAAAACTATAAAATAAATGGTTATTATTGATTATTTTAAAAAATCTAAATAACGCCGATTTCGGGGCGGGACGCTAGTTGACAAATAAATATAATAATGGCATTTTGTGATCAGGGTCTTAATTCGATAATAATGGACTAATCATCCGTATCCGTGTGGAGCTCGGGACGAGGCGCTATATTATATCGTAGTTTAATGCATAATAAAATAATACCATGGCGTGATCGCGGAGCACGAAGAATTTCAAATGATTGCAATTCATACAATAATAACGTTGATAATAACCCCTGGGAGTGAGGTAGTCCCTTCCAAGCTGTTTCTAAAATAAATTTTGTAAATAGTTTATAATCATTTATATTGTAAAATTTATTTAAAAAGAAGTCCCGCTGGGTTTCTTGCTGGTTCTACCCAGGACAGAGGATTTTTTTTCGAATCAGTGGTAAAGTAAAAAAAAAACGACTTTCAATAAGAATTACTTGTTGTAAGAAATATTGAATAAAAATTATTCTATTCTATTTTATAATTTTATTTTATTATAAGTATTTTAGCGAATATAGCAATACAAACTCTGTGAGCATTTCAAGCGTCCACATGACATTATTAAGATCGAGCAAAATAATTTAAAATTAAAAATTTTGTACAGTCGTCTTCAATATGAGTTATTAAGAATAACTCAAAAACTATTGGTCTGACCTTGATCAAATTCATATGGGACCACACGAGAAGTACCAGATTTCAAATAAAGAAAGAATCATCCAAATTAGTCCACCCAGTAAAATGTTATGAGGTAAAACACATAAAAAAAACATTCAATCGAATTGAGTACCATCTCCTTTTTGGAAGTCGGCAGAAAAAGCGTTTGTAATAGGGGAGCCCCTTTAATTGTTAGTTTATTTTTATTTTTATTATTTGTTATTATAGCGACAACAGAAATACACATTCTGTAAACATTTCAACTATCTGTCTATTACGGATCATGAGTGCTGCCCGCTGGCAGATAGACGGACGGATGGACAGCGAAGGCTTGGTATTAGGGTCCCGTTGGTGACTCGTCGGGTATGGAATGGGTAATTTTGTTTTGACATATATTTACAATTATTCGAAGTGCTAATACAACCTTTCCGTGCTCTCAGCTTTCAAACTAGCTCCGTGGAATCGGTTTATTCCATTAAGTCAAGTACCTACGCGAAGACGTCTCGTGCCAATGACAAGCAGTTTCGAGTAGCGTGCCAATATTTGCAGTACAGCACTGAGATGCAGATCGGGCAGAGAGCACCCTGCGACTGAAGGGTGCATGATATTAACACTTGTAAAGTGACATGTTTTTTTAATGGAGCTTTCATTTATTTGTTGCCAGTATTTTTAAACGTTTTTTCTTTCCAAATAATACTATTGATCTAATTTAATATATTCGACACTTATTGTTCGATTTAACAATACTACGGTATTATCGACGATTTAATTCATTGGAATCGATAAAACTTCTTTTTAGTGTTTCAATTAAGTATCTCGATGTCTGTCTGTTTGTTACAGTGGGTTTTCTGTGATAGTGTTTTATGTAGATGTTTTGACATTAGCGTATATAGTAACAAAATGCAGATACATGTGCGGACGTAAATTTCAATATTTTTTTAAATATTTGTGGATTATATGTTTTTTTTTTAAATAAAACGTTATACTAGGATTTTCAACTGCATCTCAGACGTGGCTTAAAAACATAAATTGTACAAGAACACACATCAAGACGCGAAACAATAATTTGTACGTCATTTATCACTCGTTCCGTGCGTGATTCGAACTCTCGGTTATGTAGCACCACGACCAAACGATTAGCCACTATGCTACGGAATCGTCGTAACCAGATAAAAATATATTTAAAGCAATATTTCAATTATAATGTGTGATTGTTTTATGAAACGATTTTCCGAATACTAACTGTAAACTACTGTCCCCATCGAATAGGCAAATATATAGCTTAAAATGTTTGTAAATGTTAGTTGGTATTTTTTTTGGTATAAAAACCTTAAAATTTGTTTTTTTTTTCAATTTATAACAACTTGTATCAGAGGGTTTTTTGGAGTAACTTTATTAATATGCTATATGACCTGTCACAATTATTGCAATAATTATTGTTACGCTAATAAGATCACGTAACTGTAGTATTATTGGATGAACGTAAGTTTTAGAGATCATATAGACAGATATCACAAAAACAAAGCACAGCGTAGCAATCGCGATTGCAGTTTTATTCGGACTAAATTATTACCTGTGGATGTAGGCATCGCCGCGTGTGGAGCCATGAAAGAGGACAGTTTAGCAGAGTGGTGATATGAGCTCATGAACAGGTCGCTCTGGTACTTGTAGGCCGGGTCGCTGGCGGTCGGCTGCGTGGCCGCCGCCAGCCCTTGGAAATCAAACTTGTACGCGTATCTCTTTCCGTGCACTTTCGTCATTATATTCTTGTCGTAGTAGTATCTGTGTGGAGATTAGACGTTAGTAAATTAAAAAAAAAAACACACACACACACACACACACATACATGCAACCGTTTAGTTTCTCTTATCAATAAATCGCTTCCAGCCAGTTCGCATTGCACAGTGTATCGGGTCCCCGTGATTTCGCAATGCTGCAGAGCACGGCGTTTAGTTTGTTACCTTAAAGCGCGACTGAGTTTGTCGTAGTTCATGTTGGGCTTTGACTTCCTCTCGCCCCACCTCCTGGCCACCTCGTCGGGATCTGTGAGCTTGAACTCGCCGTTGGTGCCCTCCCAGGTGATGCATCCCGCGTTGCTTGAATCGCTCAATAGCTCAAGGAGGAACTGCCATAGTTGAATTTGCCCGGAACCTGGAAGTATAGCGATAAAGTGTTGGTGTTTATTTTTTATTAATTCAAGCTTTTCAAGAAAATTTAAAAAAATTCTTATACACTGGCCTCCAAAAAATTTGTTACACCCGTTAATTTTGAGTTACAAAGTTATCTTAAGTATGCGTTGACGTATTTGTATGTTTTTGCTTATGCATTATAAATTAACATCTGAGTACTACTTGACATTGTTTTAGAGGAATACAAGTGCTATTGTGAGTATTTGTAACATTTTAAGCGCACTGATAAAAATTGTAGTTTTTTCGAAACGTTAAAAGAGCTCACAGACAATCTGGTAGTAAAGAGATGCTGTTGCCCATAGAGACTGGTTGCTTGTTACCGCAAATCGTAATAAAAAGGGGTTTTATACACTCGCTACACGAAAATCACCTTTATGGTGATATTTAATGTTGGTATTCTGTGAGAGTGCGATGCTTCTCTGGTCGAGCCGACCCATTCGTGCTGCATCCATAATAGCTGCAGCGTGGCCCTATCTTTGTTAGTTATTAATGTATATATATATATATATATATATATATGTACTCAAAAGGTTTAAAAAACCTTTAATTATTTCATACAACTAAAAAGAATAAAATAATCTTTTGAGTGGACTAAGGAATATCGCAATCTCAATGTCGTCTAAATTGTTACATTAAAAACCTCATCCCTTATTTTGCCACTCTTAGGGGTGGATTTTCCAAATTATACCTTTTAAAAAAATAATCTTTACAATTGACGAAGATATCGCGTCACTTACAAAAGAATTACATACTAAGAACGGTTTTATGTAAAGATTTGAATCATTCGCAGCCTTTCCACATCCACTCCTGAACATATGTCTCCCTTATCCTCCTTATAGGTTGGTTCGCCATAATTGTCAAGCTGAGCAGACCAGTGGGCAGCAGAAATGTTTATTATTTAAGCTTTTAACAGGAAAATGCTGCTGCCCATCTCCTGTTTCTGTTTCCCTCTGTAGCCAGTGTGTTTCCATCTCAAGGGTGTTGAGAGCCAGTATAGTTACAGGCTGTTAGTCATTCCATTTAGTCCTCAGTATTGATACGCATCCGTAGACAACAATGTTTGAATTTGGTTGCAAGTGTCCTTGAGCTAAAGTAGTCACTTATCATTAGCACAGTTTAAAGATATTATACACGCACTCTCTTTAAACTTTGCTATTAGGTAGACTGCAACTTCGTTTGTTCTTTTACTTTTATTAAAAAAAAATGTATAGTGACAGAATACACTAACGCTGATTTTAAAAATAGCTTTTTAAAGAAATTTTGCAGAAAAGGCGCGCAATCTGTCGCTTCAGACGCGACGCGCGATAATCGCGCCATTATGACAACGCTCGCTATTTGCCGGTCTCCATGCTAATTTTCGCTCACTTACAACCGAATGGAGAAAATGGCAGGGAAGGCCACTTGAAACATAACAAAAGGATAAATTGCACTGTGAAACTGGGGTGTCTGTGTTCAGAATTCAAAAAATAACGCATTTTATATTATACTAACGCGAACTGTTTCTAATATAGCAACATTGTTTAACAAGTGGAATTCGATAATATTTCTCATGATATATATCACAATCATCATCATCATCATCATCATCATTACAGCCCTTCACAAGTCCACTGCTGAACATAGGCCTCCCCCAAGAAATGCCACAAAGGACGGTCCTGAGCCACCTGCATTCATCGACTTCCTGCATATCTTACCAGGTCGTCACTATATCTAGTGGAGAGACGCCCTACACTTCGTCTGCCGGTACGAGGCTGCCACTCGAGAACCTTTTTTCCCCATCGGTTGTCGGTTCTTCGAGCTATATGGCCGGCCCATTGCCACTTCAATTTACTAATCCGTTGGGTATGTCGGTCACTCCGGTTCTACTGCGGATATCCTCATATCTAAGTTTATCACGCAGAGAAACTCCGAGCATAGCCCTCTCCATAGCTCCATAAGTCATAGGTCCTCCAGCGATTCTGCCATAAGGTCTATATCGTCGGCAAATCGAAGGTGAGTGATGTACTCGCCATTGATGTTGCTACCGTATCCTTTCCAGTCCAGAAGCTTGAAAACGTCTTCCAATGCAGCGGTGAAGAGTTTCGGGGATATGACGTCACCCTGTCTTACACCTCTCTGTAATTGGATAGGTTTCGTACTCTGGTTCTGTACGCGGATACCCATCGTAGCCCTACTGTACAAGCACTTCAGCACTTCGATATACCGACAGTCAACTTGGCACCGCAGGGACTGCAGCGGTGCCAAGACTCGCCTGGGGCCTTGCCTTTTTTAAGGTGCTGGAGAGCCATTCTAATCTCGCTCAGACTGACGTCCGGGATATCATCGGAATAGTGTCGAATACGACTCGCTCTTGGATCGTTACTCACACTTGCGTGTGGCTCCAACAATGATGTGTACAGCTGCCCATAGAACCTCTCATTCTCACTCAAAATCTCAGGTGTCCCGGAAATGACTCTGTCACACTCGTGCTTCTTCTGGCAGACAGATCTCTAGCAAAGACTTTGGAGCCCTGGTTCCACTTGATCACTTCTTCAATACGAGCAGTATTAAAGTTGCGTAAGTCCCGCCGCATGAATTTGGAGATCTGTCTGTTCAGTTGCCTGTATGCTGTCAAATCTACTGAAGACTACAGCTTCATATCCCGTTTAATAGCCATGAGATTAAGAGTGTTATCGGAGAGTTTTGTGTTCTTCTGCGGCGGCCTTGCAAAACTTAGCTCCGACCGCATGGACAGTTTCCACGAGCTTGTCATTCATATCGTCCACTGCATAGCAATCTTCTAGGTACTGAAAACGGTTTCGTAGCTCGAATTGAAAGGTTTCGGGACTTTGGATTACAGCACGAGGGGGACGGAGCGTTGACTTCACTATACGAGACCTGTCCAACTTAACGCTTAGGTTCAGTGTGCCTCTAACCATTCGGTGATCGCTACCAGTTTTCACCCTCGCTATCATGGAGACATCACTGAACAGTTGTCGCCTGGTCGTCATAATGAAGTCAATCTCATTTTTTGTCGAACCGTCGGGGCTCGACCAGGTCCACATCCTGTTGGGCCGTTTCTGGAAGAAAGAGCTCATCATAAAGAGTCCCTCGTTCTCCATGAAGTCGGCCAGCTGCTGGCCCCTTGGGTTCCGTTGCCCTATTCCAAATTTTCCTACTTTCAGCTCACCGTTCTCTCTTGTGCCTAGTTTTGCATTGAAGTCTCCCATTAACACCGTATAGTAGGTTTTATAGGAATGCATGGATCTAGAGATATCCTCATACATTTCCAACATCTCCTCATCGGGATGTGCCGAGTTTGATGAGTAAACCTGTATGACATTCAGCGAATACCGTTTGGTGATTCTGAGTATAAGGTACGCAACCCTCGTCGACACACTCTCAATCTTTACAACGTTGTTAATGAGAGACTTGTGGACGATAAATCCGACACTTCCTTGGGACAGATGGTCGCCCTCCCGGTGATAGTGCAAGTTGCGGGATTCGAGGATTACCGTGTCCTCCTCTCTCTTCGGACCTCGGATAATCCTATAATATGCCAGCGTAACTTGTCTATCTTTTCTTCCAGCTCCACGATCTTCTCGTCAGTCCTCAAGGTGCGTGCGTTGTATGTTGCCAGGTCGAGTCGTCTTAGGTGGCAACCGAACCTCCACCGGAGATTCTTAGCACCCCCTTAGTATCACAATATAATATATTAATTGAAATTTATCATATTGTGAATACGATACTGACGGCGATGGTAATAATCTAAGCGGTGATCGTCGAAAAAGGTTGGTCATTCGTAATAAGTAGGAAATATAATTTTATATTTTCGGGGTATTAGTCAAAATTTTTTCAAATACATTTTTTAAAATTATTTTTGCAACATTTGGTTTGATATTTTTATAGGATAAGTGTAACAAGCGCACAGTCCACAGTGTGATGGTACGTGGTTGCTGTGGCCCATAGACATCTACATCTATCCTCGTTTGCGAATCAAAATGCGGATGCTTTGTCAGTCGTGAGCACTAAGATGGAATCAATTCCCTCTTTTCCAATAAAAAGGGTCTCCGGTTCTCTACACTCACCATACGAAACACAGCAGCATTAAGCTGCTATTTTACGCTGGTATTCTGTGAGAGCGTGGACCTACCCCGGTCGAGCCGACCCATTCGTGCTACAATTAATATAGCTGCAGCATGGCTCTACCACGTAAAGATAATGATAGAGTTTGATCAGTAAATAATGAAAAATTTGAGTCTGGTACTGTTATTCTTAACACAACTGATTGCCAGACCAATTAATTATTCAGTTATTTGGTCTTTAATATATTTATTTTAACTATGGTATCTCTACATTCCATAATTTTAAAGACAAATTTTCTATATAAGATATAAGAAAAAATTTAAGATCAAAATGTTTGCTTTTATTATTTTTTTAAACCCAATTGGCCCGGTAGGTAAATATTTGACCATAATCTCGCCGGAACAGGAATAAGAGGGTCGCTTCTACTTGTTATGTGCGAGTTTTCTTTTTATCATATTAATTTTTCAATTTCTTAATAATTATTTACAACTCCAAACAATTAAGGGAGCATAATATTTTTGGAAAAACTATAAATAGAATATAAATATATAGTTTTTTCAATATATAAAATTTAAAAAAAATAAATATTTTAAGGGTGGTCTGGCAAATAGTTTTGTTAAGAATAAGAGTGCCAGACTCGAATTCATTATTTACTGATCAAACTATGAAATCAAAAAAATTACTCTTCCGTTTTACATATCAATTATGCAAAAAACTTAAAAAAAATTAATACAAAAACATTTTGGACAAATTACAAACCACTAGACCGTTGGTTTATTATTTAACTAATAACCACAAAATAAAAAAGTATATTTTTCTACTTATTCCGGATGACCAACCTTTTTCGACGGTCACCGCCTAGGCTATAAAAGTTTTATTTGACACAATAATTATAAC